GTGCTAATATATAAGAACCTCCCACATTCAACATTACCCATTTTTTGTCGCTCCCTTTCAATTAAAAGACATCCATACGCATTTATGGCCTACAAAAAAAAATAAAGGCAGCCCAATAGTTATATACAAATTATAACAAATATATAGTTATTATAGGTGAAAAAAATCTACTGCAAGAGTTACATACATCATCCCATATCAGGCCACCATCAAATAGTGAGTACAGGTGTACCCCAGCCAAGCTGTTGGTTCCATCAGTCCAAATAATTTCATTGCATATGTGAAAACTGTATTAATAACTCAATAAATCATGGGTGTTCTATTTACCTATGTCTAATGCATGTGTAATCAACCTAGTAATTAGAAYTGATAGAAACCGTCTAATAGTTTATTGTTGACTATTAGATAACTGGCATTTGAAGTTGCAGGATCTCCATAATCTCTTTACATCGATGACTTGAAATATAAAATGTTGCTAGATTGTTAAACTTGTTTTGCCAACCCATCATATTTAATAGATACGATATGGAAATATACCTCCTTATTTGATGGTGATGTTGTACTATATACATCAATCATGTGCATTTTCCTAATCCTTTTTGCTCCTTCGTTAACAAATGGTGAATACAAAATATGAGCTTTCTTTCTTTCTCGCCTGGAGCGAATCTTTCTACCACCTTCGTCAGGTTGATCTTCTTCATCACCTTGTTTTTCTTCCCATACTTGTGATGGTAACAAAGACCGAAGATAAATGTTCTCCTCGGTTAATTGTGCAACCTTTGACTTAAGACTTCTAATTTCCAAAACCAATTCCTGATTTGATGAAGCTCCTTCATCCTCATCTTCTTCATCATCCAACAAAGCCATTTCTTCACTAGAAGTAGGAATTAAAATTTGAAGAACCTTAAAAAAAAATGAAGCACAAAATGTTTTAGAACAATAATTTATGTTAGAAGATTGACATTATAGATAAAATCTCACTATATTACCTCATCATCCGCAAGCATGGCAATAGCATCACTATATGTTCTTCGACGATAAGTGGTGCTAGACCATTTTGCAATTCTTGAAAATGCATCTATCAAGGAAGGAATCCATACAGTGGAATGTTCAAACAACCAAATCTGTAGATGACAAGATAAGAACTCACTCAACATTAGCATACAAGGTTTATTAAATGGAATTAATTTTTATACAAAATGTAAACTTACGATGAGTATAGTAGCACAACCATGTAACCACCCAGATTTGGGTGGTGCCTCCTTCATCATTGACATAGAGAGTTCATTCAAACTATTTAGTAGCTCCCTATGAACAGCACTAGCCCAATCATAATCTCTTAATTCTTCAAGCTTATCAGTGTACTCAAACCATTTACAGTCAATGTTATAGCAGGTTTTGTAAAAAGGAATTGACCCAATATATAGACAATAAGAAACTTTGGGACATATTTCCTTTCTACCTTCTTGTTTCTTAACAACCCCCTAATTTTTTCTTTTAAATCGCCCCATTGTATCACATTTTTTCCAAAGATTTCCGTTTGTAAATGTAATGTATGTGGGGCCATGTACAAATCTACAAAATTGCYTCTCGTAGGCAAACCCAAAATCAAAGCTACATCAGATGTCGTGAATGTGACAAGCTTTCTCCCAAACCTAAACGAAACTGACTGCATGTCCCAACAATTCACAAGTGTAGATAGAAGTGACTTCTCAGACATTACATCTGGGAAGTCAAGAAAATGTGGAAATGGTGTTTGTCCCATGACATCTTCAACACCCTTATGGCTAGACAAGTTAAGTGATGAAATAAACTTCACCAAATGGGTGATACTATTTCTAGTGTATACTTGCATCTTGTGTTGTAAATATCTGCAAAAAATAATCAATGCCAGTTGGAACAAGTATATATACACAAGGAAATAATGAAGAATTCATAGTGCCAAGTATATCAGCTTGAGATAAAACCAATTGTATAAAGTTCCCCCTTTTTGCAAGTTTGATTCACAAAATTAATTCCACTACTTTGAAATTTTTAAATCTTTCATCAAATATGCTCTCAAGCCCGTTGCCTTCTGCTCTTGGAGAATGTGTGACGGTGGATTTTAGCAAAAATGGTCTCTCTGGTGATATATCTGTTATGCAAAGCTGGGGTGATACTTTAGATATCATTGATTTGAGTTCAAATGCATTGTCTGAAACCTTTCCAAACCTTACTTATCAATTTCAGAGATTGTCTTCTATTAACATCATGAATAATTCTTTAAGAGGTGACCTACCTATTGAATTTGGGACTTATCCAAAACTAGCTATAGTTGATCTCAGCTCAAATGAACTTACTRGRCCCATTCCAAGTAGTTTCTTCACTTCATTGTCATTGATAAACTTGAATATTTCAGGAAATAATTTCACAGGAAATATTCCTCTTCAAGGCTCAAGGACAACAGAGTTATTGGTTTTACCTTCTTATTCGCAGTTGGAGTCACTTTGTTTCTCTGGTAATTCATTGATGGGTTCCTTGCCTTCTGAGNTCTTTAAGAGGTGACCTACCTATTGAATTTGGGACTTATCCAAAACTAGCTATAGTTGATCTCAGCTCAAATGAACTTACTAGGCCCATTCCAAGTAGTTTCTTCACTTCATTGTCATTGATAAACTTGAATATTTCAGGAAATAATTTCACAGGAAATATTCCTCTTCAAGGCTCAAGGACAACAGAGTTATTGGTTTTACCTTCTTATTCGCAGTTGGAGTCACTTTGTTTCTCTGGTAATTCATTGATGGGTTCCTTGCCTTCTGAGCTAGGTAACTTAAGGAAGCTTAGGTTGCTAAATCTGGCAAGGAATAGCTTGTTAGGAGAGATACCAAGTGCAATAAGCAAGCTTAATGGTTTAGAGTACCTTGACTTATCCAATAATAATTTCAATGGTAAGATCCCTGACAGGCTTCCATCTAGTCTAAAGGATTTCARTGTGTCTTATAATGATCTATCAGGACAAGTTCCTAAAAATTTGGTGCATTTTCCAAATACTTCATTTCATCCTGGAAATACGCTACTAATCTTTGCAAATATTGTGCCTTCATAGAGCAACAACCCCATGAGTTTTAATGGTAAGGGGAAACATTACAGTTCAAAATCTAATATCAGAGTAGCATTTATTATTGCCTCTATAAGTGCCACTTTGATGATTGCTTTTGTTTTACTGGTTTATTATCGTGGACAGTTCCAACAATTTCGTAGAAAAAGTAAAATGAATGGCCAAACAATGGGAAGAGATATTAAATATGGAATATTTACACCTACTTCCCTTTTTAAATTCCACAAAAACATTGAACCCTCTCCAACTTCATTGACTTTTTCAAATGATCACTTGCTGACATCAAATGCAAGGCCATTGTCTGGGCAGAAAAAGTTTGTGGCTGAAACTGCAAAATTTGCTTTACCCAAGGGAAGAGAGGCATGTCTAGAGTCCAAGAAATATGACTTTCCAGATAATCATCCTCCAACATCTGAGTGGAAGTCATCTCCAGGATCCCCTTTATCTTCCTCACCCCGTTTTATTGAGACATGTGAGCGACCTGTAATGTTAAATGTGTACTCACCAGATCGGCTGGCTGGAGAACTACATTTTTTAGATAATTCAGTAGTATTCACAGCCGATGAGTTGTCTAGAGCCCCAGCAGAAGTCCTTGGTAGAAGTAGTCATGGGACTTTATACAAGGCTACTCTACATAGTGGACATACGTTGACCGTGAAGTGGTTGCGTGTAGGACTTGTCAAGCATAAGAAAGAATTTGCAAAGGAAGTGAAAAAAGTTAGGTCTATTAGACATCCAAACATCATCCCCTTAAGAGCATACTATTGGGGGCCCAGGGAGCAAGAAAGGCTGGTACTTGCAGATTATATCCATGGAGATAGTCKGTCTCTTCACCTCTATGGTAAGATCTTCCAACAACTTATATTTAAACTCCACCCAATAAATATAGCATTGCATTGTGTTCTATCTCTATTCTYTACTCAAAGTTTTGCAATTATCTTGCTTCTATATTTAGTATCTAAGAGCCATTATTCATTGTTTATCTACATCTATCATTATTATTGTTATTGCTATTGTTATTGTTATTGTTATTATGAAGCTCTTTCATTATCTATTCAAACAAAAGATGTTAAAAGGTGTAATTCATTCGTTGTCCTTCTCCTTCGAGAGGTTTCAGGCCTAGTTTTCCTTGGGTAAACTAGACTAGTATATTCTTGTATTACATATCAACAAAGTTTTTGGATTTTGTTCAAGATAAAAATAAAAGAAAATGTTAGAGGAGTTCTTTRTCATGTTCCAGATGCAAATAGAGTTATCCTCAATTATATCTGCTTGCACTTAGACCGCCATATCACTTACTATGAAGTATCTCATGACTACTCACTTGTAGCACTGAGGAAACCCCAACAAGCAGAAAGCTTCATGCTATGTTTTGCAAAGGGGAAAGGAAGGAGGTCATTGCCAACTGATTTCCCACCCTCAAGGCATACAATGGATGCATCCTTTAAGTAATATCTTCCAATTTACTGGATCCATTCTCAGAATCTTGTCCAATATGCAAATAGTTGGTTGTGTTTGGTTGGACGTAGAATATTTTGGAAATGGTTATTTTGGGAAATATGAATTTCTCACTTCTTGGTTGTTAGTAAAACATTAGAAGTTTAAATTTTACCAAAATCTAGAGTGCACAACATCACAGAATGAATTTGCACCTTTTAAAAGGTAAGTCATTTTGCTTGATTGAGCTAAGATTGGCTT